GAACTGAGTATTCCAACCTTACTTGGATCAATTTTTGGTGGTATTCATAAATTATATTTTGGTGTATTCCAAGTCAAGAGAGGAACATGATGACCATCTTCGGGTGGTTCTTCATATACTTCGAGAGAAGAAGATGTATGCCAAATTGTCCAAGTGAAAATTTTGGTTATCTGAGATTACTTTCCTTGGTCATATAGTCTCCGTAGAAGGCATAAGAGTAGATCTTAAAAAGATCCAAGCTATAGTGGATTGGTAAACCCCAAAGAATGCTTCTGAGGTTGGAAGTTCCATGGGGCTTGCTGGTTATTATAGACAATTCATGAAGAACTTCTCAATGTTAGGTTTGCCACTAACTAAGTTATTGTGGAAAGATGTACCTTTTGTTTGGACAGATAAATGCCAAGAAAGTTTTGAAATGCTAAAGAGAATAGTAACAGAGGCACCAATGCTTGTACAACTTGAGTCGGGTAAAGATTATGTAATATATAGTGATGCATCTCATAATGGGTTCGGATGTGTACTCATGCAAGATTGAAAAGTAGTGGCTTATGCCTCAAGACAGTTGAAGAATCATGAGAGAAATTACCTAACACATGACTTGAAATTGGCAGCGGTAGTGTTTGCTTTGAAAATTTGGCATCATTATCTGTACGATGAGCGTTGCCATGTTTACACGGATCACAAGAGTCTAAAGTACTTGCTAATTCAGAAAGAGAATTTGGATTGAGCTTTTAAAAGATTATGATTTGATCATTGATTACCATCCATGAAAAGCTAGGTAGCTGATGCACTCAATCGAAAGACTTTTGCAGTTTTACAGGCTTTAGATGCACATATGTCTTTAAATGAAGATGGTGCCTTGATTACTGAACTTAAATTAAAGTCGATACTTTTGGATCGGGTAAAAGAGCTGCAAGGTCAAGATGAGAACTGTTTGGCGAGGATGGCACAAGTAGAAAAAAAAGAAATAAAAGACTTCGAAATGAGGGTTGATATATGTTTATATTATCGGGGAAGACTTTGCATTCCCGATAATGAGGAATTGAAGAAAGAAATTCTTTACGAGGCACACTATAGTCCTTTGACGATGTATCCAGGCGAGAATAAGATGTATAACGATTTAAAGAGTCGTTATTGGTGGCTTGGTATGAAAAGAGTTGTATCGGAGTTTGTTGCAAAATGTTTGACATGTCAGCAAGTGAAAGCTGAACATCAAGTGCCTTCCGGATTGCTACAACCGATATCCATTCTTGAGTGGAAGTGGGAGAAAGTTACAATGGATTTTGTTTCGGGGCTACCTTTGACACCAGGTAAAAAGGACTCGATATGGGTAATTGTAGATAGATTAACCAAGACATCTCACTTTGTACCAGTTCGAGTATATTACTCGGTGGATAAATATGTGGAATTGTATGTAAAAGAAATAGTTCAGCTGCATGGAGTACCAAAATCAATAGTGTCTGATCGAGACCCAAGATTTACTTCAAGATTCCGAAAGTCCTTGCATGAGGTATTGGGTACTCGATTGTGTTTCAGCATAGTTTTTCATCCGCGGACAGATGGGTAGTCCGAACGAACTATATAGATATTGGAGGGTATGCTAACGTCATGTATGATTAAGTTTAAAGGATCATGGGAAATGCATTTGTCTTTAGCTGAATTTTCTTATAACAATAGTTACCAATCGAGTATTAAGATGGCCCCGTAGGAAGCTTTGTATGGGAGGAAATGTCGAACACCATTAAATTGGTTCAAACTTAAAGATTGAAATCTATTTGGCCAGGATTTGATGAAAGAAATGGAGGAGAAAGTAAAAATTATCCAGGATAATTTGAAGATAGCCTCCGATCAACAAAAATCTTATGCTGATGTGAAAAGAAAAGAAATCAAATTTCAAAGGGGAGACAAAGTATTTCTAAAGGTATCGCCTTGGAAAAAAGTATTACGATTTGGGCGAAAATGAAAGCTGAGTCCGAGATTCATTAGACCTTATGAGATCTTGAAAAGGGTCGAACTCGTAGCTTATCAATTAGCAATTCCTCCAGATATGGACAAGAACCATAATGTTTTTCAAGTATTTATGCTTAGAAGGTACAGATCAGATCCATCACATGTCATCACGCCTAAAGAGATAGAAATCCGACCAGATTTAACTTATGAGGAAGAATCGGTAGGGATCTTGGCTAAGGAAAACAAGGAATTGCGTAACAAAAGGATTCTGTTAGTTAAAGTACTCTGGAAGAATCATAAGGTAGAAGAAGCTACTTGGAAAAGAGAGGAGGACATAAGGAAGCAATTTCCACACCTCTTCGTTTTAGGTACTTCTTTAAATTCGAGGACGAATTTTCTTAAGGGAAAAAATTGTAATACCCTAAATGGTAGGTCAGTGACTATTTTGAAAGAATTTAAAATTTTGAGGATTTAATTTAATAGATGTTAAAGTATAAGGAATGATTTGAGCAAGATCAATTAGTAAGAAATGGATTATTGAAAGGGCATTTTGGTCCTTTAGAATGAAATGAAATTAAAAATCTTCTTTTTAAATAGGGATTTAAGAATGGGGAAAGTAAAGAAAGAGGTTAAGTTATTTACTTCTCTTTTCTTCTTCCCGTGGCTTTGTGCTCTCCTCAATAGCCAAAGGTAAACTTCATCTAACTAGTTTTTTTCTTTCGATTATGGTTTTTTATTACAACCTTAAGTGATGTGTAAGCTTAAGGAAGGGTTAACAAAGATTAATACTAAGAGATGAATGTTTTATTTGAGATTGAAGGAAATGGGTTTTTGAATGATAGGTTGGAATATAAGTTTTTATTGATGTTTATTAGTATATTTGACTTACCAAATAAGTAAATAAGATATTAGAAGCTCCATGTATGACTAAAAACATGTTAGAAAATGCAGTACGATTCTTGGTTTGAGATGTTCTTGGGAGATTTTAGATGTTATAAGAAGCTAAATGAAGGAAAGTTAGTTGAGATAAGTAAGGAAGAGTGTAATAGTATTGTTGGAGGTTAAAGTAAGGGAATTTGACTAAATTGGGTAAATATCGAGCTGAAAATGGAAAATCTGAGTAAGGGAATCAGTACTGATAGAAAAGTACTGATACTATAGGTTTAAATGGGTAGAAATGCGATGAACAGTATCGGTACTGAAGCAATTAGTATCGGTAATGGGGTATCGATACTAAAAGAAAAGTATCAATACCATGGATTCCAGAATGCCGAAATGGTATCGATACTGAAAGGGAGTATCGGTACCATAATATAGAAGTATCGATACTATGGTATGGGTACCGATACTATCGACCCAGGAATTATAAGATAGGCTGAAATTGTTATAGAAATTGAAAATAATAGTACTTTTGAGTATTATTAAAGTATAAATGTTAGAGAATATACTAACATTTGTATAGTATGTGTACTAAATGGGTGCTTGTGTAGATTATAACGAAGCTCCCGAGTCAAGCAAGAAAAGGGAAAAGACAAAGTTGTCGAGTAGTTGGACATCACTACAACATATTTGGGAAGCATATCAGGTGATTGTATATATTGCAGTTATATGGATTGAGGAAAACTCACTATAAGTCCACCTCAAATGTTTAAATTAATGTATTTATATGATATATATTTATAATGTGTGTGGAATTGAAATTATGACTAAAAGATTAAATGCCTAACTGTGCATTTGGCAAAAAGGTGTCAATCATGCTAGTTAGATGAAAGGTTAAATGCCTTTGAGTAATAGATAAAATTCCTAACTGTGCATTTGGCAGAAAGGTGTTAATCATGCTAGTTAGATGAAAGGTTAAATACCCTTGAGTAAAAGATTAAATGCCTAACTGTGCATTTAGCAAAAAGGTATCAATCATGCTAGTTAAATGAAAGGTTAAATGCCTTTGAGTAAAATATTAAATGTCTAACTGTGCATTTGGCAGAAAGGTGTAAATCATGCTAGTTAGATGAAAGGTTAAATGCCTTTGAGTAAAAGATTAAATGTCTAACTGTGCATTTGGCAGAAAGGTGCCAATCATGCTAGTTAGATGAAAGGTTAAATGCCTTTGAGTAAAAGATTAAATGCCTAATTGTGAATTTGGCAGAAAGGTGTCAATCATGCTAGTTAGATGAAAGGTTAAATGCCCTTGAGTAAAAGATTAAATGTCTAACTGTGCATTTGACAGAAAGGTGTCAATCATGCTAGTTAGATGAAATGTTAAATGCCTTTGGGTAAAAGATTAAATGCCTAACTGTGCATTTGGCAAAAAGGTGCCAATAATGCAAGTTACACGAAAGGTTAAATGCCTTTAGAGGAAAGATTAAATATTTAACAGTGGATTTTGACCTAAAACGGTGTGATTAATTGATTTGACTAAAAAGATTATAAAGGAGTCTCATGAAGTACACGATTTATCATGGTTTTTATAGCCAAGACATTCTTATGAATAATTTGTAGTTCTTTTACAAGATTATGCATCACTAAGTAAATACTTAACGTGTGTTGATTTCACGCGTAGGTAAAAATCAAAGATTTGCCGAGTAAAGAGTGCAGCAGCAACAATTATCATCAATTAAAGGTTGACTCGTCAGTAACACTGGGACAATCATACTCATTTTGAAACTTAGTTGGCATGTAATTGAACTTAAGAAAATATTTTGTAATGTATTTAAAGTGATAGTTTTAGTAATATGTTCCAATGAAGGTTTTATCATTGTGTTAAATTGTGTGATTTTTAAAAATTGAAACAAAATTTTACGGGTTTTTAAATGAGAAAATGTTTTAAAAGTGATGTGACATCTGTATCTCGTATAAGGAAAGGTATACGGGAGATGGGTGTTACACAAATGATGTATTTAATACTTGAATAAATTATACTAAAGTACTAGTTGAATCGGTTATTTAACCTACCAGACTTGATAAAAACAAAACACCACCGCCGACCACCTGAAATTGAACCGAACTCCGAACAAAAAGTACAAAAAGCAAACCAAGTTGGGTCTTAGATCTGCTTAGATTAACAATTACAATCACAATAAAAATACTAGGTGGGTGATTACACGGCTTCAATGGCTATCTTCATTCCAGATTCACAGTGGCCAGCAACGTTGCATATGAACAAGTTCAATCCTTTGCGCAGCTTCACCTCATCTTTCCCCGTTTTATACACTTTTGCATCCACCGGTGTAATGCAACGCTCGTAACCTCGTCTGTTCACCACCACCACGTTGTGGATCGTCGGATCGTATTTGAGCACTGCAAACCAAGCAAATATGCAACTTCAAAACTTCAGTTTAAATGAGATATATATGTACATGATGTATGTGCTTACAAAGTGTGTCGCCGGCCCTGAAACGCTTCCCTTGAGGCCAAGTGGTCATGTTAAAGGTCCAACCATCGGAGCCTCCCACTGTATAAGTCGCTGCATCGATCGTCTCGGAGAAAATGACAAGGCAGATTAGTAATGCGACCCTGAACTTGGCTAGACTTGCTTGCTCCATCTCTGGGGAAAAAAGATTCAAAATGTTAGGTGAAGAAAATGGAATTCTTTTTACGAGGAGGTTAGGTGGGAAAGCTAAAGTTTCATGCCCTTTATAAGCCGTTTAAAAAGAGTGATATATCACGTTAAAAACAGAAAGAAAGTGTGATATTTGATCCACTTCAACTTCAAATTATTTCACAAATCAATGTACTAATTACTATTAATACTTTTAAGTTTTTTAAGTTATATTTTATCACTCGACTCAAATTTAAAATTCTGTCAAGTCCAATCGAATTTATAACATTATAAGTCAAGTTTTTTAACATCGAGTCGGATCAAAAAATTTGATTTTTTTTTCCCGAATTGAATTAAGTCAAAAAATTTGAATTTTAACGAATTGAATCAAATGCTGCTTAGCCTTAATTAAATTCACGTTCCAGATTGCCGGTTCTAATCAGCTAGCCTACAACTTTACTACATTATTATTTTCAGCACTGTTGAAACAGTTTGGCATCTCGGATACTAAATGAAGCTCAATGATTTTCATGTAAGTTCTTCTGAGAATGATGAACTCGACGTTTCTCCCCATCCTTATCAAGATTTTACTCCCATGATGCTCTTCGGATTCGAATAACGTGCTTCAAGTTCAAACCACGACTCCAACCCAATGAGTTGGTTAAATTCTTCAAATGTAGCCATCTTCTGAAGGTGATCCCTTGTTGTTCCGTTTTCCTTGAGGGTCTTAAGGACATCGACCAATGCGCGAGCTGAAGCATAGAGAGTAGTGAGCGAATGCACGATCAAATGAAACCCCATCTCCTTGAGCTCCTCAGACGTGCGCAACGGTGTCACACCACCTTCGATCATGTTACAGACTCTGAACCCTTTGGTATGGCGTCCGATCTCCTTAAACTCGTCATCGTTCCTCGGTGCCTCCACAAAACAACCATCTGCTCCTGCCTGCACATCAATCTCAGGATCAAAACTTTTAGCTCTAGAGGAGAACTATATGCCATGCTACATCATAGCACAAAATTCAGAATTGTTTGTTCTTAAGAAAATTGTTTGATCCATTTTGAATTTAACATATATGGCATCAGAAAGATTTGGGGAATGCACTTATAAAAGATTAGGTGCAAAATAAATCCAATACATGGGGAATGCAAGAGGAATACCTCCATGTAAAGGTTAGCTCTAGCGATGGCATCGGAAAGGCCGGTTTTCACAGACGTAGAGCGTGCGTCTGTTCTAGCTACTAGGAAAAAGTCTGAATCTCCGATGGCTTCTCTTGCGGATGCGATTTTTGCAGCATGCTCCTCTGCAGGTATAACCTAAGAGGACGACGAGTCGAGAAAAGGGGGACCGATAGGGGGAAAATGCATTACAAATGATGGAAAAAACCTTATTGTCTATGCCAACATCTAATCATCGACAAGACCTAATACATATAAACCAGAATACGAGAAAAATACCTGTTTACCACGCATATGCCCTGGATGAATTCAAAGGCACAGAAAGAATCAGTACACTAAGTAACATGAGAAGATATGAGAACATAAAGAATGATTTCGAAAACTTGGAGATTCATAGTTAATTGTTCATACCACACTACTTTGGCCATGCTTGATCCTGGAAGGAAAGTAGAACCAAATTAATAAGTGGAAGTAACAGGCATTTCCATAGCTAGATAAAGCAAACTCATGACTAATAAAAGCGAATTCACCTAGAAATGCTTTCCATTCACATAGGGAAACAAGCATCCAAGATGATGAAATATATAAAAATTTTGCCTTTTACTTTCCATTAATTGACGAATCTAGATTAGATACTGCAGAGACTCTATAAAAGTACAAGGATGATCTTTTCATCCCAATTTGCTAAATTCACAAATGGAGATGACAATGAATCCTGGACACAACCCTAATCCGTAGATATATAACCATTTTATATGATTTGGATCCAAAAATTTGGGACCTGGCAGATCCGGACCAGATCTAGATCCTCTTATTAAAGTATGGATTCGGGTTCGGATCTGACACTAAAATATCGAGTTTAAACCCATTTACTCATTTATAGAAAAGCTCACTTTTAGTTTTAAATATATATATATATATATATATATATATATATATATATATATATATAATAAGGTTTAAAATATATATAAATATTTTATTGAGGGAGACGTATGGGTTATAGGGTTGATTTTTATACTTATTAGTAGTTATATTATTTTCCTTCCTATGCTTTAACTTTATATTTCACATTATTCTCTAACGTAATTTTTGTTTATTTTATGACTAAGACACTTTCGAATGAACGCATGCTTGTTTAACTATTTGTTTAACTATTAGTGAAGATTGTGATGATGATACGAAAGTGGTGGATATCATGTACATGATATATAAGAAAGTTATTATATTATATAACATTAATATTAATATTTAAATTTCACAAATATCATTTTCATTAAATAAATTTTTCTTTTTGGTTGGTTGTTGTCTGTTTTAGGATGTTGATGATTTAACTAGTGATGAAGACTATCATTCTAAGGAGGTAGAAGTGTCGGCTTACAACAATAGAATGTTTCATAATCTACATTTTTTAATGTTTGTGTTATTCAAATGACATTTGTGTAATTGTCTTAGAGGTTTTTTTTAGACTTAGTTTATCGTTTTTTTTATTTTGTTACAAGTTGTATTAAAATTAATGTTTTCTGCATTGGAGATGTGATGTGAAATTAGTCCATGATAATTTTATTTTGTTAAAAATAGGTCGAATAGCCGTTTTCTAACAGACCCGTTTTGGACCCAAATCCATGAGATCCGTTGGATCTGAATCTGGTTCCCAATTTTCTAGATCCGAGGATCCGGGCGAGTCTAAATCCAGAATGTGAAAATGGGTCTGAATCTGGATCTAGCTAGATCCGATCCAGATCCGGCCTGTTGCCATCCATATTCACAACACAAACATCAATATGACATTATTTAAAAGTATAGTGTCCTAGCTCACTAATCCAACCGGATGTTGGTAGAAGCGAAGCATTAATGATCTTTAAAAATCTGGGTTATTTTGTTGTACCTCAAGAAAGCAACCAGCAGCACCCGCTGCAATCAAATCCTTGACAGTCCTTTGAATATTGAGAGCGTTGCCACCACCGGTATCTGAAAACAATAACAATTAACAAGATTACTGAAAATCTTGAACCAATGCATTCGATAAATTAACATTCAGTAACGAAATGACTAATGAGTAGACCAGTTAAGTTCCACATATGAATCAGATACAATGTAGAATAGAAATGAAATACTAGTATAAATACCAGCATCTGCAATAAAGGGTATCATCGGAGCAGCCGCACAAACCGTTCTAGCCGTCGCCGCCATCTCCGGTGGCCTTTAAATAACATAAAAGACCAATCAAATTTATAACGTTGTTTAATGTTTTACAACACAAAAAAGAAAAGAGAGTTAGGAGGTCCGACGTTAGCAAACCGATGTCAGGTTTGCCAAGGAGAGAAGCAGAAACACCATATCCAGAGATGAAACCAGCGCTGAAACCAGAATGCTGGACTATGGCTGCCGACAGAGCGTCGTAGCAGCCTGGCATTAACACGATGCCTTGGTCCTCAATCAGACGGTGAATCCGAGTCTGCATCCTGACCCTCGGATTTGGAGACAAGTTAGACGTGGACCTTGACCGTAATGTGGAAGGTTTGAGGTTGAAATGTTGAAGCCAAGTAACTTTGGTCGCCATTATCGTCGACATTTTCGAAGCTGGAAGTGGGTAGGTTGCCTTGGGCTTTGGTCGGGGTTTTTAACGTGTGATTTTTATGGGGTTTACAAGCAGTATTGTGTATGTGAACGACGGTCGTTTTAGATGAGGATAATTGGATAACTGACAATAGACACCACCGACATCTTATCACTTCAATAAATTTGATTATCCAAGGGATATAAAATAGACGTTATTATGCAAAAAAAAATCTCAAAAAATCATTTATTGGAATAACATTTATTTGGATAGTAACCCCAAACAAAATTAATTGAAAAAAACCACAAATTGCACTTATAAGACTATCTTGCATCCTACAAAAAGCGTTTAAAAGCCTCACATGCTATAAGGTGCGAGAGTTCTCCAACATGAAAATACTTTTCAAAGAATACAATTTACTATTTTAAAAAAAGACATCTCGTTCTGCGTAACGTTAGGTCCCGAGATATTGAAACATGATGCATGCACCAAAGTCCATGATGACAACACGTGCTTCTTCGAACAAATGTTTCTACTCGAACCTATTAGAATAACAAAGTCTCGAAGATTCAAAGATATTTACTCGGTAAGTATAATTTGAGTGAATTCTTAAAAGGTTCTAATGTTTCTCCCTTTTGCGTTTCAGATTCGAGGTCAAATCATTTTTACGAGATGGAGGATGATATATACATCATAAGGCTCACATCAAACGAAGATGGACCAATGCTTCCAATTGATCCATACGACCAAGCTTTGGAAAAGAATAACAACATAGCAGCATACTTGCTATGCCTTTTGAATAGCATATTGATGTTATTTGGTTCACATGTCTTCTAGAGTTACAATTGGTTGTCTCTTAACTTTCCAACGGTTCTTGAATCACATCAATCTGATATCAGGAACTCAAGAAATGGTCATTTTATTGAAGACAGCGCATGCAGAAATCCCTATACGGGATTATACGGGATTTTGTAATTTTCAATATTTTCATCTTAGGAGTAGAGGTTAGAATGGTAATTGAATGTAGTAGCCTTGATAGCTTATCGCCCCTTATAACCTTGCTTATCATAAGCCTTGACTGCCTATCATATTCTAGAAGACTCATGTGGGACGTTCATCAAGCTATGATGACTTAAGCATGCATTCAAACTCCTTGCCTTCATCAACACCATCGGATCAAATCCTTATCAAGGGATTACATTCAAGGCACCACCTCACATAGATTTAGGATAGTTATTATTATTATTTTATTGTTATTTTATTCCT